AGTATAAATGGCTAGTTTTTATATAAATATTGACAAGTATACGATGTATTAAAATTAGCAAAAATATCTTCTCAGAGTTATTTTTAAACTCTATTTTAGCCCAATGAATATCATTTTACTGCTGAGATAAATAGGGTGATTTTGCCCCAAGACATCAGATAGGTAGAATTTACTTGGACTAGGTATTCAGGTATGAAAATATGTTCATGCCTACGAAGTATTCTAAATCCATATTCTAATTCAAATATAGTCAGCTTTCTTTCTGCTTCTGCAATGTCATAAGGCCAGGAAGAGGGTTCCAGCTTTCTTTTACCTCTATTATCTTAATATTTGTCTTTGATCTTCTCTGCTCTGAGTATATGTCCAGGTATCTGGGCACTAGGGTCCTTCTTTCTAAGCTCTCTCAGAAAAATCAGCAGCTATTGTCAATGCCCATTTAGCTGCAAGTCCTTCAAAAGGAACATAGGAGAAAAAACTATGTACAAAGAGTATACTTGGTCTTTCTGCATTTTTATGTGCAAATGAAATATGCTAGTTGGGAGGTAGAAATGGTTGTTGCTTTCACTCTGTAGCCCTACACCATTCTCCTGGTATACAGATATATCCTGGCACTCTTGATAGTTCTATATGAAAATCTTCTTCTGTTTTTATAAATCATATCTAGTGGCTGTAAGTGGCTCCTAGTATCAAAGGGTAAGGCAATTGTGTAAAAATCCATATGTATTTTATCAATAATTAAATGTATTTCCAAATTTAAATGCATATATATGTGTACATTTGGGGAAAATATCAAGACAAAATATTTTGTGACAACTTCTAGGTATGTGTACCTCTAGTTGTTACTCATCATTATTATTTTTGTGAATTATCAGGTGCTATTTATTCAATTAGGACAAACTGTATCTTTTCAAAAATTCTCTGAGGTTCTTGACCCGCTGTTCAGTAAGTAGGAAGGAACCAGAGAATCCTGGTAAAAGAGACATCCATCTTTCCTGGCAGAAATCTCTCAATGCCCCTGCTTGTCTCCCCACTTTGTGAGCAGGGAACAATAATCTTCAATTAGTGCTGAGAATCCCGCATCTAAACTCTGGATAGGAGAGCTGTTAAGGTGTTCCTGAATCCCTCCCAGAGTAGAATGTTCCTCACAGATGTGGGAGGCTGCCATCTCTTTCTGAGTGTGAAATTCTTTACATAAAGAAAGAAAAAGCTAAAAGCATTGCTAAAGGCACACGGGTACCAGGCAATCTGGATACATTTGCATTATCCCTCTCAGTGCATGAAGAAAAGTGAATCAGTTAAAGACACAGGTTTTAGAAATCCCGTTCTCCCCTGCAGGGTAAATATCTTTCATTTCTCAGGGGCCTAACTCTAGGCAGGTCTCCTCAGGGCACCGTTAAGTGTCTTCTCCTTCAAGATGAATAGAACCTAGACAGGCAGGAGAGGGATTTCAGAGCCCTCACAGCTGCTAAAATGTCAGAGCTGAGAGCCTAAGATTGCCTTTCCCTTCTGGCCCGAAATAAGTTGTTCACCTGCGTAAGAAAAACTCTGGCTTCAGAGCAATTCTCTGAGTGCACATAATGAGGAAGGTTGGTCCTGTGGTAGGTTAGATGGCAGTTTTGAAATCCATAATTGGTTTTTATTTAAGGTTTTCATTAAAGATTTACTGTTCATTCTCACTGATTACAAAAGAGAGAAATATGTATTTCTTTTCTTATGAATGGTTTAAAATACAGTATGTATGCCACCTGAATAGAAAAATATACGCCAAGCTAGAATTACTACTTGAGACATATTAGTATTTCTACTCAATTTAAGCCATTTGTTGTGCACCTATTATATACCATAAACCATGTCAGGTGCTTCCAGGACACAAATAATAAAAAGATTTAATCATTGTCTCAAATGAGATTTTAGTGTAATCGAAGGCATATCCATCATCTGTTGCCAAAGTAATGCTGTATAACAAGTCACCCCCAAAACCCATGGCTTAAAAGAGTTACTTATTCTAACTCATGCATCTGTGGCTCATCTGGTCGCTATTGAACCAACTTGGCCCTGGATGAGCTTATGTGTAAGCTGCAGGTTGGGGCCAGTTCTGTCTGCTTCACGGGCCTCATCATGGTGACAGCAAAGGGCTAGCCAGGGATATTCTTCTCATGGTGATGGTACAAGATTAAGAGGTCAAGCCCAACTGCACAAATGGCTTTTCTCTAACATTCTCTGGCCAAAGCAAGTCACATAGCCAAGCCCAGCATCACTAGACTGAGGAAATATACTCTGCTCTGGAGGAACCACAACGTTGCGTGACAAAGGATATGGCCGTATAGGGAGGGATGCAAAATTTAGGAAAATAATACAGTCAACCACATTGGGGAAAGATGAATTCACCAATACCAGTATAACAAAAAGTAGGGATTTCAACAGGAAAAGTATCCTATCCCAAAGACACCCGAAGAAATAGTCTTAGAGGGGAGTGGCATTTACAGTCACGCAAGAAAGTAGTTTGTATTTTAAGCGGCTGACATTGGAAGTAGGGGAGCAGGCAATAATTCAAAGATGTTCCACCAGCAAAGTGTGGACATGTATAAGCCATTTTCAGTGTTAGATTATAAAGAAGTAAATAAAGAGATAAATTACAGCAGTAGAAAAAAATAGATCTGTAAGAAAACTACAAATGGACATTCAGTGAGATGTCCAGGTCTCAGAAATTCTTCTGTATTATTGCTGGAGGTTCTTTGAAAAGATGATATGAGTATTAATTTCCAAGGTATGAAATATGGAAAAGCACACAGGATGGAGCTTTTGTTTAGGTCTTTAGAGCTATAATTAGATCTGGAAA